TCAGTAGATGAGAGCGTACACTCAGTTCGTTCCAGTCTTCTAATTTTAGTGCATGTGTAAATTCTCGCTTCTCGAAGAATTCTGGGAAATGTCGTKGAAGGTCTAGGTTATCTGTTCTGGTTAACCAATCCCGCAAGACGAAAAACAGTTTGTTTTTTAATGTACACAACGGATCCACCTGTTGTGAGACTGATGCTAGTCAGAGGTCCGTGTCACGAACGAAAAAAGAGTGACAGAAAATCGTGATTTAAGCCCAGGAAGATTTCATTATTTAGAATTTSGAAGGCAATGCAAGAGGAAGTTCCTTGGAAATGTTGTGGCGATTTTACCTCGAATTTGATCCTCTTCTTCCCCTGATTTTCAGTCGTGATTTTGGATATTAATGACACATGCACTAGGACAATTGTAGGCTGCAGACGTTTGCTGATAGCATCTTGCAGGTAAGCGAGACTAGAACCTTTACTTACAATGCATGGAGCCGGCTCGTAAGATATAGTGAGGGTAACGTTTGTTAGATTTAACGTATCACTTTCACTTGTCAATTAGATACGAAACAATAGTATCGACTATGATATGATTAGGACTTATTTACTCTCTCATTCAAAAGTAGAATATATAAATGCGTAGTATWATTTATTGCTCCGAAGTTTTTTCCCCAGTAAAGTCATGTGGGGGAGATTGTATTGTAAACGAATCACCACAACGTTAAAACAAACTTTTCAAAGACCGAATGAAAAGTAATAATAACAAAAAATTTTAAATTTTCCAAAAACATCAATTCCAATTTACATATTCTAGTGTTGCAAAAACAAGGCCGMCGGATTTAACCTGGGATTATACTTTTTTGGAAATGATTTCTCTAAATATCGGAAATTATATATTTCTTAGGGTTTCTTTATGCTTATAAATTGTAGTATTTTTTCTAACTTTTACCCTTTGATGTGCACATTATTAAGGTGTAAATTCGAAATCAGATGTTTTTTCGCACAAACAAAAAAGCAAAACACCGTGCAAGCAAAAAATTTGCAATTTAATCATGTTTCTTGCAAAGTGAATTTTATGTAACTGCGCAAATCATACTTGGGTTATTGCCAAGWTTTTTTCGAATGACTTAGAAAGACGTAGCAAGAGCTATAATATATACTCYTTTATCTATTTGTTGGCGTTTGCAAGAAGACAAAATACTTTAAGATGCATCGAAACGGAAAAATATATAATATATTTTAAAATAAAATCCGCAAGAAAATCCCTTAAAAATACTAATGATTCAATACTCGTTAATGAAGTATAAGCCGTGCTTAGTAAACTTATAAGCCATACATATTATAAAAGCTAGACGACAAACCGGTACTGTAGATCGATAGTATTAAAAATGCAAAAACACTGTTACATAATGTTTTACGAAGTCTGTATTTCTAGTTTGCAGACGTTTGCGGGTTACATCCACCTTTATTTAGAAATAAAGCTCTATATCGACCAAGGATGCATGCATGTAAGATATAAATTTGCCCAAAATTTTGATGCACCATTTATAACGAATAAATTCCATTGATTTTATTAGCACCTTAACGAAGTTCATTCAACGTTTTTTTAGGACTAGGTTTTTATATTTTACTCAATTAACACAGTTTTTTTAAAAATATTACTGGGTGTTTTTCAAGACGCCTTTYCTCATTTTGAATGGATGGCGTTATATCAAACCTTAGACAGAGATGAAAAAAATGTCTTATATCGTCTTTAACATAAAAATGATTGATTATTTTTGAAACTAACGAGGATTTTGTGCAGAAAAAGACCCCAGAGGAAGAGTAAATGAGAGTTAATCTTTAATGTATCAGGGACTCAAGACAACTTGTGCAAAAAACGTAAAAACTTCTTTTGAAAATATGCACAAATGAGCTTATAAGATGTAGTGCCAGAATTTTGCAGCACTAAACCGCACCGAAAAGTCGAAAATACTATCAATTTATTTCTTTCCGTCTCTACTTGAGTTTTCGTAGTAAGAGTTGGTCCTAATTTTCTAAAGTTTGAACAAAATATATAAATTATGAGTGTCTTTGAGTTATTTTTGGTGTATTTTTAGCTTTATTTTAAGGATGCCCTAGTTTGAAAATAGCTGGAATAGTTCGTGGATGTTGTGCTTATAGTCGATTAAAATAAATTCAGTCAATAAAACTTGTCAGACTGCAAATCTATCATAAAAATGCCCCCTAGTGCTTAGTAAAGTCCTTGTTCGTTTATGAAGGCGATGTCTTGGAGAAAGAGGAATTATGACTTATAACAGAAAACAATTTAAAACATAATGGGCTCCACGATCCCTAGGATGTCTTATCAAAAAAACCCCACTGATTTAGAGAATAATCTTTATCCAGATACAAAGCCCAGCTCCTGCAATTCTTAAATAAGATTATACTCTAGCATTTCTATTCTTCTCTCTTTCAATTCATCTTTTTCTTTCACTTATTGAGATAGTGCAGCCAACGAAGTTTAATGGCTTATAGGTAGTCGCTCAAGTATATGCAACTAAAACACTTTAGCTTTTTTTAGGTATGAATCTGACCAACGAAACGTCTCGAAATCTTTCGAAAACAACGAGAAATCAGTCGGCAAACGGTTCAGAAATTCAAAAAGTTGCCTTATACTTCGCCTATTTGTCAAACCGGTAATTTTTAAGACTTTCAGCAAATTGCCACTGAGTGTTGCTGTTGCTGCTGTCAGTTGTTGTCTTTGTTGTTGTTGTCGTTCAGCGTTCCTGTTTTGCTGTTAACATTCTTCAACAAAAGATATTTTTTTATCCTACTACAACCAAGCATATAAAACCGAAGCCTATCAGCACTGTCAGTCCTGTTGCTAGAACTTTCTCTCGTCATGGCAACCGCTTGAWGTTTTGCAAAAAGAGTCGTAATTATAAAAAAGCTTACTAGAAAGTAAATGCAAATGTTTATTAGGGAAGAGATGACTGAAAATAGCCCCCAGCTGGCGTAGTCTACGGCTGTGTACTGAATTTTTTTAAAGAAATATTTCTATAATTCAATGTTAAAATTAGTGGAATTTAAATTATTACCGGCATAAATAATTAAAAAATTATCGTAGTTGGATGGTGAAAGCTTTTCACCGCGGTTAACTCTTTACTTTTTTWAAAAATTGATTGACAATTGCCGTTGTTGTTTTTGTTTTATATTTTTCATAGTATCTACAAGTTGGTCATTCCTCTCTTGCTTTTGCTCTCTACTTTTGCAACTTTTGTGATTGTTGTTGTTGTCGTCGTCGTTAATAAAATATAATATTAAAAATCTACAATTTTGTGCCAGGTTTTAAGTTAGGCAAGAATTCATTCACTGATTCACTTCTTGGGAATTTTCTTTTCTATGTTTGGACACACTTAAACATTTTCTTTACTCGTTCTTAACAAGCAAGACATGTAAAATTGTACTTTTGTGTATTTTGCAACTTGCATGATCCAGATATGCTGCATGGCTGGTCAACTTTTACATCACAAACATGGTTTGCTGTATGCATTAGTATTGGAATTCATAGCCATCCTTTGTTGCATACTTTTAAAATCGGACACTAAWTTATAAAAGTCATTTTATAAAAGATTTTCATCAAGTTAACTTGAATTTCGGAACTAGATTTTATCTATTTATTCGATCTCTTTTCCTTTTCAATRTTGTTAAAATTACTCACAATTAGCCTATGAATTTTAAAGATTCTACTTTTAAAACGGGCATTCAAAATCTATATATCATTTACGCTCCAGGTGGAAGAAACGAATCATTGACACTGTATTCAAAGCTAAACAAAAGCCACTAAACCTTCAGAACAAAGTCTAAGATTATTAGATTCTACCGCGAAAAATTAATTCATTTTTTAACTCAACAAGCTTCCAAAAATTATCTTGTTTACTTTAGAATTATCAAAATTATGACTGCGGTTCTGCTGCTGAATAGACTCAAAATTACAAAAGTAGTTGGTGTAGTATTTCAAAGTTTCTTTTTGGAAGTAAGTTCAAAGCATGAGGGAGTGAATTCCRTTGTTGTAGACTCAGTGTGGTGGATGTTTTTGGATGACAATTGGGCGACTTCCAGACATGTTACTCTTTTACATGAGTCCATTAAGGCTATTAATAACTTGAAAGATGATTTCGCGTATATTTGCTACTATRTTTTACATGATTTGCATTCTTATGGCTTAATTTTGTACTAATTTTAAAGTTAATCCAAAGTGATAGTCGAGCATGATGATTGCGAGATTTGAAAACCGCGGAAATGAGTTCGGCCACGCGGCTGTGTTTGCKTTCTGAAAACTTCACTTTGACCTTGAAGGAAGCGTGACAAACTAATTGCTATGACATTCACCATTTAAAACCCTATACCATCCTTTCTTTAATACATATTTCGTACTGCGAATAGCAATATTCATGCTTATTAAATAACACATTCCCGCTGTTAGATCAGTGTTGGATTGCTTCACAAATGCCTTCACTCTATGGCGTTGCCTGATTGCTCATTTGCTGCCTCAAAATATTCAGCTCCGATGCAAATGARCCAAAACAAACGTCATTAGATTGACTTTTCCGGTATCCTTGGTTTTTTTATTTTTTATTAGGCACATGGTACTTAGCCATAATCAATAGCATTGGATCAATTCAGTGTTTACACATCACTGACGAATATTCAATAGCTTGTAAAYACGATTACGACTGGCGTACTTCAAAACTGTTGCCCATTCTTTAACACCCTGCAGGATCTTTTAGCTCTCACAATTAGGCTTTTTGTACGCTTGTCAACAACCTATGGAGTTATTTTTCGGRTTTACTTTCTCGAGAAAGCGATAAAATTGTTTGACAGCTCTCTCGACGAACATCGCCTCCGGTTGATAGAATGTGACTTAAGGCTGGGGGCGGGAATCAGGCTTGTGGGAGTGCGTCTATTTGAACCTTCGGTACATAATATATTGGTCAATACTTCACCTATYGTTCACCCTTCCAATGGGTCAGGTGGAACCCATTGTTTGTGATCAAATTCGCTATCGGCCACATGGTCAAAACAATAGCCGGACTTTGAAAGTTTTGTAAATAGTATTCCACCATCTTGGAATCAGTTGCTGAATATCGAGATCGTTCGTTGGAATTCCAGCACGAAATTGGCGCGAATCGAAACTACTTCGAAACTTCTGTCGTCTGCAAGCGTATARCTTGAAAATTCTTGAATTGACTACACGTGTAGGAGCCCGCGATCAGTTTGAACGATTTGGAGCCACGTGAAGAAAGACATCACCGCGGTAGACGAAAACTTGTTCCCTGGGAAACATAAAGTAATTTTGTGCTGTTTACCATGTAAAGGCAAAATATGGAGAGTTTATCTTGCTGCTGAAAGATTTCAAAACGCCAGTCCCTCCATGATGAGGAAAAACCTTRGCTCGTAAGTACTGATGGATTCTTTCTTGACGTTAAGAGAAAACTCTCTTTTCGCCCAACATTTTCTTGACACATTACAAATGAAATACAAAATGATATATCATATATTGCAGCCAAAACAGCAGCGAAGCTGTGCTAAAAGCCCTTACTTCGAAACCAAAATCCACGGATCATTATAATTTAAGATAAAGAACTAGGCCGGAAGATAKAATTTTATTCCTGAAAAGGATTAAAAATGGCAAATAGCGTACCAAAGACGACTCTTTATTATTTCAGTCACGTAAAGCTTCACACTCCCTAATACTTTCTATTCATTTTCCAAACTGTCTTACATAACTAAAGGTCTCTCTAAAACCTCACATTTTATTTTTAAAATGTTAGAAAGCAAGAGTTTTGACTGTGATTTTATCAATGACATTTGGTTCACTTACACTGGCAATACAAGGAAATATAATCACCAATCTATTACTATAATTTAGGCAACAGTGAATGTTTAGTGTCGCCGAACACAACCCCGGTACCAGTAAGGAAATTGGTTTTTTTTCCTCTTCACATAATAACTTAAGATGATAAAGGACAACAAGAAATGTCTATGCTCGTTTTGATATCATAATTTTTTATCGAAATATTTTTGAAATTGATGATGTCGAAAAATGATGAATTCAGAGTCGAAAACAACCGAGTTTGTGAGTGAATATCGCTTGAACGAACACGATCGAGTTATGATATATTTACCCAATATTTTAGCCACTTTTTTAAAAATCTTGCAGCTTTGATGGACAACCTTAGACTGTTAACAACAATATAGAATCCAGGGCCATTCATTCATCATTCAAGTAAATTCATACTTCAATTTGCCAAGAAAAGCTGTTGGCAATTATCGCTTTTTCTCTATTCTTTTTTAGGGCTTATTTTTAGAGTTTTATTTTTCTCCGTAGGGGAAAMATCGAAAAAGGAAAAGGGTTCTTGAGTAAGACGTTTCGTCGAGGTTAAATAAACCATTTTTCTGTAAGAAAAATAAGTTTATAATTTAGCTGTCGCAAAAATAGCCGCTAAATCATATGAAATCCGACGAGTGATAAATTTGCATATTTTTTTCAGCTGTCGTTCATGTTATTTAGCGAGAGATATATTTGTTTAGTCGAAAAAATACTGCAATCCCCTCCAGATTTTTACCAAAATTGGTATAAACCCCTGAAGACTACATAGTCAAATAAGGTATAATATTTATATYAAGCTGTTGGCATTAATTTGCGAATGCTGATAGCAAAAAAAGTTCACCTTGGGAAGGAGATGTTTGGATTGAAAACAATCACATTGTAGTGTTTTTTTCACGAGATCAAAACATTGGCCCAAACGTACTAAATAAATCATAAAACCGGGAAAATTATCCCGTGGTATTAAGTAGACGACAAAACTTTAGATTAACTAAAAGGATGAAGTGTTGTAGGATTTTTTGATTTGATGAACTAAGAGTCTGGAAMAGATTAATTTTCTTGGGCCACGACCCTGGCCTAGAGTGTGCGTCCTTATGCACCAGTATGATTCGATGTGCGTTGTGCATGCTCTTATTTGAATTTTCCGCAGACATTTATGTGTAACTAATCCAGTTCAGTTTACTGGAGATAATTCAAAAATTTTTGGTAATGATAGATCAGTTTGCATTCTAATAAAATTTACTTCAAGGGGGAAAATTTAAAGATAAGTTGTAGATCTGGTGCATTGTGGAAAACCATTTGAAAGTTGACAAGTCTTATTACCGCAGTTTCGATGGGAAACTGTTTTGGTCACGACTATCTTTTRCAATTTGCAGCACATAGATACCCGAAAATCATGATTACTTCTTCACGAAAAAGGGGAAAAGACCTTTTAGGAAATGTTCTTAAGAAGACCATGAAAATCCACTCATAAGTGGGTTTTTTCATCAAAAATATTAGCACCAAATTTCATTTCATTGTCAGTTCTCTCTTTCTCTATTACGAATRATCATAATAAATCTTATTTCCAATTGATTGGCTCAAGGGATGATTTACAGCATCTTTTTAAAGTGACAAAAACTCGAAGTGTTCACGGTTCGAGTGTGCTCACTGTAAAATGAATGTCGTCTATGTGGTCTATTTTCGCTCTTCCTTCATGACCAGAGCAAAAGATGTTCCAAGTTTATCGGGATTCCAAGCACCCACTCACCAAAACATAATTCTAAAAAACTTATGGATCTACACAGAAATATAAATTACAATCGCCGRGTGCAGAATGGTATAGATAAAACACAAAGACACACAAAAGTTTGAATATTTCATCGATCATTTTTCCAAACTTTTGTTATTTTTTTGTAAGGGAGACGCGCTAATTGCTCGCGAGTTATCATCACCTCGCTTCCCATAACCTTAATGTACAGGCCTGCTATAAACGTTTTATTCTTARATTATTGGCTTTCAATAAGATAAAGCTTGGACTGCATTAGCACTACGACTATTTAACTTGCGTGGGTTTATGTTTGTGAAGGATTTTTCCAAACCTCTCTGCATGAATTTCTATAGTAATAATATTTGGCGTAGTCTTTCACAGGAACTTCACAATAGCATCCAACATAAGAAGCTGCGTTTATATTGTTATGGAAAATGCGGCTTTCGAAGCGGGCTATCCACAWTCTAAAAACCACTTTGAAAAACCTTCAAATAAAACATAAGGCTCAAAGATAATTTTTGTCTAGTTCGGTTAGCTCTTAGTTCTTTTTCGCTTTTGGCGTCTCGTGCTGGAAACTAATGCGGAAAACTTATGATATAATTTCCATAATGTTCGTTCTTCCAATGATAATAATAATAATTTCGGAAATACATAATATTGTACAATTTTTTTTACTTTGATGTTGTCGATAAATCCTGTTTGAAAAAAGTTTTACCATCGCCGCTAATTCATTCATTCATTTCATTGGTCAATACACAATCACTCACCGGCTTAGCGAATCAATTCATACTGAAGCGATCTTTGCAATACTTGGGCAGCTGTGAATYAAAACCGCACCCTTATAACTCAGCTTTAATGTTTTAACTTTTTGAATAGCATAAGCTGAGATCCAATATCATTGTTGGGAAATAGGCCTATTTAAGGCCACAGATTGAACCCAGATTCATTATAGATAATTTAATGCAGATCAACATAGTTTTCGCAGCCTGATCGTTACTATAGCCTACCAATAWTTAACTTCGTTGAGCTAGCGGGATTGATCCAAAAGATATCTTCTATAAAGCAACATTTCACTTTAAAATTTTCTTGCCTTTTGACACTAAATTAAACCTGCCATAAGTCATAGTTCTTAAAACCACTTAAATTGAAGGAAGAAGAGGTATTGAATTGTCATCTCAAAAATGATTAAAAACGGCGGGAATTGTGTTCACGTGCGTTCTGCATCCACSCGCCCGATTGATGTTCACACAATCATAAAATCCCAAGCACAGGCTATACGCGTGCGCTAAAAACCTCTTAGATCTTTAAAAGTTGCTCTTACAGAGTTTTTTTCTAAAGTTGAAAGACTTAAACCAGTTGTTATTTATCAACTATATTTCTCTTTTCTCTCCAGTAGTCGATAAAACCCAATATTTTCCCACAGGTGGTTGTATTATTGACGGTTTTGTTATGACCACAAACGCATGTTGATGTCACCTCTTGAAAGGCTTAGTTTCTCTTTCTTTAAGCGACTGTAAATATCCATACCTAGGTTTTTTGATTTCTAGAAAGCACTTTGAAGCTTCGTGTATTTTATGAGATATAATAGAAACGAAGTCTATTAATAACTATCTAGATAAATTAAGATTGTTCATTTGATCATAGCTCTTTGTAATCGCCTTAAAGAGGACAAAGCACCCATGCCTCGTTTATCATTCGGCATAGCGCTTATTGTTGCTTYCTTCATCCCAAGAGAGTTGGAGTAAGTTAGTTTAAGACAGCCAGCATGGCAGGGGATGACATGGTTGAGTAGGTTAGCTGACGAGCGTGTCCAATAAGCATCCTTTKGGTGCATTAGTGTTTATTTACTATCCAAATGAGCACRCATGCACGTTGTACTAGAGTTGTTTTGTTCAACTCGTAAAAGAAAAAAATGACTATTTAGTTARTACTAGTTGATAAAAAACAAASAAAGGAAGAAAATGTGTTTAGAGTCTACCACATATTATTATGCAGTTTTCTCGAATTAGCACTTCGAACATACAATCATATATCAATTTCATTTTAACAGCAGTTAACTAGTTTTCTTTACGTTTTTATGAAAGTGTTCAAAGTACAGAGAAACGGGTGTTCTAGGCCGGCAAAGTCAGTATTGTACATAAACACCTTATTAAGTGTATGTTTGCATTAGTTTAGGTATAGGATTATTCGGAGTATAAACAACCAGTAATTGTTGTCAAAGTACTGACGGTGTATTCTAAGCTGGACATGCATTTAGATATCCAGTCGTTAGTAGTGATGCATTTTGTATTGCTTATATGATCCCAGTGACTCGATCCTAGTGACGAGATACGAYATGCTATAACATTGAAATGGTTGCCCATTGTCTTCATCCTATCGGACCGCACAGTTACGATTGCCCTACGAAAGAGTGATTTTATTTAAACCCGTGAAAAAATAGTACGCATAACAGTTAGTAGTAGACTCTAAACCCATTGTTTTCTTTTGTTTTTTATCAACTAGTACTAACTAARTAGTTATTTTTCTTTCACGAGTTAAATAAAATCACTCTACTGTACGGCTATAAACTGATTTGCTGCTCTGTAGTAACTAATCGTAGTGGATGACAGTGATTGATGGATGACAGTGATTGACAGTATGTAACGGTAACAATAGAAGTAGTGGTGGTAGTGACAGTATAGTGCTGGTCGGTAGGGATTGATGGAAAGATGGTGATAAGAAGTGGCAGTGGCAGTGGCAGTGGCAGTGGCAGTGGCAGTGGCAGTTGTAGTGGTAGTGGTAGTGTTAGTGGTTATGATAGTTGTACTGGTAGTGGTG